CTGGGTATAACAAACTCAATTCTTGCTACACAGCAGCAGGGGCACAGTCATGTACAGCTGTATTATGAAGCATTTCCACTGGAAAGCACAGAGATTTAGCAGTGACTAGTAAGCCATTCACCCGGCAGTTTTTAGGACTGGGTTTTATGGCAGTCAAATGGAAAAAAAATCGATGGGATGGAACAGGAGTCCCTGTGCAGCCCTGCCCGCTGCGGCTCCTGACCCTGGTTGCTGCTGCTTCATGAGGCAGGAAGGAAAAAAAAAAGAAAGTGATCTGTCACCAGAACATTTCAAGTGCTACATCAAACGCATGGACATTTATATTCATAAAAGTGTAAACAATACAAAGACTTGGCTACAGATTAGATTTATGTGACGCTATATGACTACTCATCTCTCCATCTTGTTAATAACCTGAAAGGCACTGTCACGTCCTCCTTGATGAAACCATAATTACCAATCGCCTGGTAAGTTACTTTATTGATATTCTTAACAGAAACATTGTCTTGTTTGAATGAAAACATTCTTTGTAAGCACCAGCAGAACAATGAGCGAAAAGGAGGGTCTGTATGTCATGGGACGCTGTCCCCAGAACATCATTTCCCAGCAGTGAAATTGCAGAACACGCTGTTGATACCAAGACCCAAAGGCCTGCACTCTGATAAACCAAACCACAGCAGAAATGACTCATCAGCAGAAGACCCTGCAGCCTAACATCAGAAGAATGGCACCAAGATTGCAGCATATCACATACCCCATTCTCCTTACTCCAACCCAAGACGCAAATCAATGATGGGCATGTATTTTAAACATATATTAAAATGAGGAAAAACAGTCAAGACACAGCAACATGGCCTAAGATCTATGGAGGTTTAAGACAGAAGTATTCTGAGGCATAGAAAAACCCTAGAACAATTGCTGATCTAGGATCAGCCTAAAAGATCTGCCCAAAAACTAGAACATTTTAGTCACTCCTTAGATACATGAAGAAGACTGGGTAGCCAGTGTCCCCTTTTCCATACAACTTGGATGTATTTTGGTACCTGTGAGTATGAGTAAATTAAACTTACGAGAAAATGAGAGTAGGTAAAAATCCTCTGGCCTGATCACTCTGTAAACAAATAAGTATCACCTTCCACTTCCATAAGACGTAGCACTGAATTCTATTACTCTAATTTTCCAATTTCCAACACCAGCAGATGAAATATAAACTTCATATTTGTGAGTTATATCCACTTCATACAAAGTTCTGACAGACAACCTGACATTTAGATTGTGCAAAATCCGAGATTCGAAAAAAAGAGAAAGAAAGGCAACATGTTGTGAGACCTTACATGTGCTAAGAGGTTACTTATATGGCAGCATAAATTACTGAACAGATCTCTGGAGCAAAGAGGAAAAAGTAAGGAAAGATTTCTAAATGGAGTATTTCAAAGGCACATGTAATATTTGGGATTGCAAGTCAAAGTAGATGCAATACTTGTGGATTTTTTTTTTTTTTTTGCTAAAAAGACAAAATGAGAACATGCCTAGGTTCCTTGTGCAAATACCTCTAACAAGGTATCAAAATAGTGGATCAAGTATCAAAATACAAGGTATCAAGAATTTTCCATAGAGTTCTTGTTGCAAGTAGAGATAAGTCGTATGAGGAGAGGCTGAGGGAGCTGGGGTTGTTCAGTCTGGAGAAGAGGAGGCTGAGGGGAGACCTTATTGCTCTCTACAACTCCCTGAAAGGAGGGTGTAGAGAGGCGGGGGTTGGTCTCTTCTCCCAAGTCACAGGCGACAGGACAAGAGGAAATGGCTTCAAGTGGTGCCCGAGGAGGTTCAGGTTGGATATTAGGAAAAAGTTCTTCACTGAAAGGGTTAGCAAGTGTTGGAATGGGCTGCCCAGGGAGGGGGTTGAGGCACCATCCCTGGAGATATTCAAAAGATGAGTTGACATGGTCCTCGGGAATATGGTTCAGTGTTGGGGTTTTTTGGGGTATTTTTACGGTTGGACTAGATGATCTTAAAGGTCCTTTCTAACCTAGGCAATTCTGTGATTCTGTGATATATCCAGCTTACAGTCCTATGGGGCCACACCAAAGCCACAGAAAATGTTTAAGACCTCTCTTTTCCTTCACAAATCTGTCTTCCAATAGGAATTGTCTTTAAGTATTTGAGTTATCAACGGGTTAAACCAAAATTAAACAGAAAAACCAACACAGAAGTGTATTTTTTTCCTTATTCTATTCAAATCATAGAACTTTCTTCTTTTAATAAAATTGAATTAAAAAGTAAAAAAGCCCCGTAACTGCTAAGAAAACTTGACCTAAATGGACTCTTCCATTATATATTTTAATACTCTCTAGATAATCAACTGGTAGTAACAACATTAATTAGTCTGACTGCTACGTGCACATCACTGATATTTTTATTACTTTGAATAAATGTACCCAACACTAGAATATATACACGGCGAGAATGATGGGTATAGAAACAGAAAATAAAGCCACCATTAGAATGATGTTATGTTGCAGCTAAAGCCCATATTTCTTCAACAGTGTACTTATGTAAGTATTTTTGTAGATTTATTTTACCCATTTCCCACCCTTCATGATTTAGTTGGAACACTGCACAGATTAACAGAAAACCTAACTAGAACTGAGCCAAAAAAAGTCTGAGGAGGAGAAAAAAAATTTTTAAAGGAAGAAAAAAAAAAAAGAAAGAAAACCCAGAAAGGTCAGATTCAAGAGTTACAGGTATCTAGGCAAATAGAGTTCTGAAATAATTCTCAGAAACTATCTGGAGAAAGTACTTCGTACAAGATAAGATGCATCAAACTAAAGGTCACAGCAAAGACGAAAAGGGCAGCTTTCCCAGAAGCTGAAAGAAGAAAAGTTATGCTTTGGTGCTCTTTCCAGTGTCTCAGTTTTTTCAGCACTAAAGTATATAACAAGCCAAACACAATGCTCTTTGAAATTACCTTCCGAGGAGGACATAAAAGCCTTACCTTAATACCAACAATGCCCTTAACACCAACAATGCAACTCAAGTCAGTAACGGTATTGTGGGCTCTGACATGAGTGAACTGAGATGTAGTGTGTGAAGGCATCACCCTCACTTAACTGACTTTCACGATGCAGGATACAATCTCTGCAGGAAAATCAGAAGAAAAATTCCTGTCTAAGCCTCAGCTTTTCCAGCTCATAAATCCAGTGTTTCGGTACCTGTGTACCTTCACTGTAACTTCTTAAATTTCTGCAAACAGATTCACTGAATAGTGATCTATCAGGGATACAGCACAGACAGTCTCTCATCATTCCACCCTGCTTTGTGGCAGAAAAAATGGAATTAGGGATTCTTACTCCCTTGCTCCCACAAAACTTTTCAAGATATGTTTACAAATGCCTGTTGCATTGGAGATATCTTAGAAACACTACCGGAATACCTGTATCTGCTCTTGGAAACTTATTTGCTCTAAACATCAAACAAAACAACCATCAAATTCCACGAAATAAGTTTGTGGCTAATAAACAGCACGGAAATATTAAAGGCTCTATAAAGTTGCATTTACTTTTATCCTAAGATCTTAAATCTCAGCCTGTAATCCTTAACTTTAGTCCCAAATGTATTATCTTTCAAAATTCATTTAAATAGTATGTTTGACCTCTATCACACTTCTGCAAAGTTAAAATTTTCACTGTATGTTTATTCTCAGTGACCAGGATTCTTCCCAAGAACTGCTAATTCTGAGCATTATTTTTACAAGCGACAAAAAGCCCCTAAGGAATCATGGTGATACGGCACATTTGACGGCTGCTGACAAAAGTACCAGGAGCAATTGGTTAGGAATACAAAAAAAGCAATAGAAAAAAAATAGTTCAGATCAACAATGTAAAATTATCTTTTGAATAAACAACAGGTGAATATTTGTATTTGCTCACTTTCTTTTTTCTGAATGCATCGTTAAACCTAAATTTGTCTCTAATGTGAGACACGTGTTTGTCTCAGAAGGTATCACTATTCGCTCCAAGATATTAGACTCTGGAGAGAATTTTGGCCTGAATGATCAGATTTAGCCAACTCTCTTCACAGCCCCTGCGATGACAGCTGCATTCATTTCCCTCATATACCAGTCTTAAAGTCGGAAGGAAATTCTCAGTTTGCAAGCCAGAACACGTTCTGCTGGATATTTACAGCCAACTGTTGAAATCCCCGAAACCTGTCAATGATGTCAAAGAGGACAGAAATAGATAATCTCGCTTGTTTTTCCTAAAGAAGCTTGCATTCATAAAAGAAACAGGAACAGAAACCTTGAAGAAAAAGAATTCTCTTATTGCACTCACTATGAAAGCACTCAACTTTTCTTGGAAGAACCACTTGAAGAAAAGGAATCGTGTTTGCGTCTTACTTCATGTTTTAATCTCTAAAAATGTTTTATCTCTCCACTTACATTGTCAGCAACAAAATGATTTTTTTTTCCATTCCAAAGCCTTTATTTATTTATTTTCAAATGAGAGACACATTGATAACAGCAGGATCTATTGGGAGGCTCATCAAGCCATTTCAAATGCCACTAAGTAGAAGAATGATGTTTGTAAATGTCAGTCCCTAATACCAGCTCAAATTTAACCCCCACATTACTTATACATTACCTTACAGTAACCCACTAACCAGGTGATTGGCAGAACAAAACCAGGAACAAAATCAAAACGAGGAAACCATTTGCAGCCTCATTCTGTATTACTGAAGATTTTATTGACCGATAAAAGTTCGGATAGGAATCAGATTTAGTAGGATGCTGCTTCAGAAAGTACCATAAAAATCGAGCTGTGTAACTTCAGAGAGAGCCAGGCAAAAAATTGGTTTCAGGAGATCTCAACTCTAAGTAATCCTTCTACATTGCTGTTCTCAAGGAATGCTGTTAATGTTCTGCAGAATAATTTTTCTGATCTCCAACTCAGCAACAAAACAGGAGTAGAGCTTTAATTAGGAATGAATAAAATAAAAATACTTACGCTGACCCCACCGGCCTGTTCTTGGATTCAAATAATTTGGATAAAGTCCATTAGGACGATCCATTTTTTGAAGTAACTTCCGAATGTGCATGACCTAAATTAAATCAAGAATCAGGATCACCACTAATAACATTCATTTAATATTTTTTTTTTAAAATAGTAAATTTTCTTAGTCTGAACCCAGAAGCTTTCTTGAGGGCTTCCTGAGGATTAGGACATTTTTGTCATAAAGGACTGCTCACACAAATATGTTTAAAATTTTAAGTTTTAGATGTATGCTGAAACAAATAAGAAAACTTGTGTTGTTGTAAATTTCTACTTGAAAAAGTCACCTATTTGGTGACAGAAATACAAGTATTAAAAAATTTACCTGCTACCAAGAATGCAATATAGAACGCAGTATGGAAAGTACTTTCCCTTTTATGCAATTTATGATGAAACAGTGTAAAAGATACTTGTACGATTAAAAACTGAATCTGAGACTCACCTTGTTGTAGTATACGGGGTCCCCTGTCAAATAGCTGAGGTGGACAAATTCCATGTGCAAAGTACCAAACTCAGCGAGGATGCTGCTGCCCGCAGAAGCCCAGCCCCAGTTTCGACCCACACCACTGAATCCAATCAAGTATGCAGAAAAAAGGGAGAAAACAACAAGAAATTCAGAATTACTGTGCACAGCACTAGTAACAATCACTGCATGAAATTAAGCAAGTAACAGCAAAATACTGACCCATATTTAAGATCACAGGAGTTGTGGTTTGATTGATCTGTTGGTTCATTGGTTGGGTCTTTTTGGAAAAAAGAGACCCTAAGCTCATCAACAAAAAGTCCTGTGATTAAAATACATAATATCTTGATGTCCCAGAAATATCATGACTTAGCACTGGCCCAGTCTCGATTGTTGTTTATTCACTCTATGTTCCCAAGAGTAAGAATCAAAAGCAACCATCAGAGGAGGCGCGTGCACTTCTCAAGGTGGCAGCATTCGCTGCCTTGTTCTGCCAAACATCTGCCACGTTCCCTTTACTCGTGTGGGATGTGTTTCAGGTCAGTGTTAGATACTCCAGCACGATGGGACTGGGCCCTATTTGTATCTACATAGGAAAACTCTATGTTTACTGTAGGCAGAATATTATGAATTCCTCAGACTCACAAAGAATCAACAGAGAACAGAATCACAGAATCTTCTAGGTTGGAAGGGACCTTAAAGATCATCTTGTCCAACCGTCAACCTAACTGACAAAAATAGACACCCGCACAACAAACAAAACAAACATCATATACCTTGCATCTTTTGTGCTTTATCTTGCTAACTCATAACTCCTGAACAACCTCTGGTTTAACCTAATTTGAGAGTTTTCACCTTTCAGAATTGAGTCTTTTAATTTCTGAAGTTAACTTCATTTTTCTAGAGATCACTTCTAATTCCTTTCATAAAACATTTTAGTTATCAGTAAGACGAGAATCAGTTAGGAATGCCTTCTTACTTTTTTAAATTATAAATTAGAAAGAGAAAATGTAAAGGAAAAACATTGGCAACAGAGCAGTATTTGTAGCTCTGACAAGACAGAACAACACCTTTTAAAAAACAGTAACCACTGTTTACAGAGTGTAGAGAGACAGAATCAGAGCTTGTCTCAGGGTTATTTTAGTACAGGTCTCATAGAAAGAGAAATTAAGTGTTAAATTATGAATGCAAAAGCTAATAAAACACAAGTTGAAAAATCTTCTGAATCTTTCTTTCAGGGCTTGTCTTTTACTGCAGGTCAGCCTCATGGTAAGTGTTCTTCTGCACCCCTGCTACGGTCACTGCCCCCCGGCCTGCCAGCCACTATTTTCTGTCACCACTGTGATGCTGGCATGTCCTGTACATTACCAAGAGGCTGACACAGCAAATGCATAAACAATACCAGCACACAGGAAATTTCTGGCACTCCAATCCTTTCCCCTCCGCCTACTGCAAACCCTCCTCCCCGGTCCTGCCTTCCTGACTGCGCTCTGACGCCCAACCTACGTGTTTTACTGATAAGTATCCATGTATCTACTGCCTACAGTTTCTTAAACCATCTCTGTTACTCTAGCCAGTGAACCAGCCACCTGTGCTGCCCGAGAAGTACACACAATCTGGACATGCAGCTCAATTCAGCCACTATTTAAGAACATAATAAAAATTTTAAAAGCGGCTCGCGTCAAAAACATTCTCGCAAACTCTGAGGGAAATCCCAGCATTGAATAAGAAATACAAGGTAAATGAGACAAGGCAAATCTCTTCCACGAGGCAATACAAACAATCTAATTTAGTGTCTGACCTGAATATCTAAATTAGCCTCTCCATCTCCGTGGACCATAGCAGACTTCAGCACACTAGCCCTTATACCTAAGCCGAACTGTAAAATGAACTAAAATCTTCAGAGTCCCATAATTTTCTCAAACATTGTGAGTCTTCTAAAGGTAACAATCAGCTCACACAGCACATAAACCCCAGCACATTCAACCAAGGCCTGCAAACAATTTTGGTTTTTAATGGGTCTTTAATGACTAAAGAACCAATAATTAAGCTCTAGGGCAACACATGGCATAATAGAGTGGGTATGTTCCAAATGTCATGTCGAATCAGCAGAAAAAAAATCATGGTCACAATTTATTGCAGTTAATGATGTAGAATGCTCTGAACTCTATTAAACTTATACTGAAGTGCCAGGAATGCCAATTTGTCTGCATTTTCTACAGTTCCACTATGAAAAAAACCTGACATACACCTTTACTAATTTTAAGTTGGAGGGAGGGGGAGTAACATGCTTCCCCACAAAAAATAATTCATTACCTTTTCAGATTCACCATTGCCCATGGTATACCCGTAGGTGTGTTGAAGGCTGGAAGAAGTTTTCCTGCCAGTTGCACAGCTTTGATCTTGAAAACCTAAGATAGTAGGATCAATTGCAAATAGTTACAAATTCTGATTTATCTCCAAGAACTATAAAGACTGAAATTTCCTTGCCCCACCCACCTCTTTTGTATTAGAAAAGCTTTACATTGTAAAAAATATATTAACTTATCATGTATTTTTTACTTGTTCACTTTATAAATTTCATTAAGATTTGAACATAATAAGAAAACTTGTAATTTTCCTTTCTTTCCTTCCATGCTCTCCAGCAGTAGTGCTTAGGTTCCTATGAAAGGAGAATATCAATTCTCCTCCCACCTCCCTCCACCAATATTAGGAATTTCAAGTGCTTTCTAAAGAAGACTTTAAAGCATACTTGATATTTTGTAGCTGAAAATCAAGAGATAACTCCCCCACACAAGTGTACTTTTACAAACTTCCAATATCTTTTTAATGATATATGTTTATAGTGCAGATAGAGTTCCTATTCTTTTACGAACATTTTCTATGCAAAACTATATATACACAGTATCCTGTAGCTTTTCCTTCATTGATAATGCATAAAAAAAATAATTATAGGCATAATCTTCCCTCTCAAGTCTGATTACTCGTAGAAATTACTGACAGGACAAAATCTCTTTCATTTCTACTGTTGTTCCTACTTATTTTTGGAATATAAATGTGTTCAGAGCCCGATGTTTATTAGTTAAATGAGCAACTGGGAAAAAAAGCCTTCTAAGACTATAGAAACCATCTTTTCCAAGAAGGCATATTCTGTAGATCCCCAGGCCATAAAACCGTTTCTATAGTTGCTGGAATACATTTTAATTAACTCATTGTCAGTATTCACCACGTCTGCAAAAGTGTCTTCTTAATTTGGAGATAACATTATTCATCAGTTTGAAGCACTGCACAAACATGTACCAAAAAGAGCTACCATGCCCCAAAATAACTTATGCAACATGGACATGCTACACAAACATTATCAACTACCTGACCAATACGCTGTAATTGAGAAAGAGTTTTAAGAAGGACGACAAGACAGCTCTGGTAGCTTTACAAAAAGGATTTTTCCCTTTTGTGAAGGTTATGAGAGGAAAACGGAAGAGATGCTCACTGGAGAAGCAAACTGAAAAGTAGCTGAAAAATCAGCAATAAAGAACATCCTTATTTTTCACATGAAGGTGGAAAAAGATCGATATCTTAATATTTGAGGAGATGACTAGTGAGACATGAAATAAACCAGAAAAGAATATTAAAGATGACATCTAATTGTATTTGATGCAGTGGAGTATGGAGAGACGGAGGTGGATCTGGGAGCAATGAGCCAGGAAAAAGAACTTTTACAGAGGTACTCTAAATGAATTTTAAGATGGGATAAGTCTAAACTGAAAAAGAGGATATGTCAGAATATGATTTGATAGAATTGTGAAGTAACAGAGGCGATATGGCTTGAATAATTTTTAGTAAAGGTACCGACAAGAAACAGTCTTTGAGAAAATGTGCAGAAAATTAGCAGTAAAATTCAGGTAACACACTGACCTTGAATAAAGGGGCAAGTCAAAATAAGAAGGTATAGTATAAGTAAGAGGTATAACACAGGTGAAGTCTATGGTAACTGGGGAAAAAGAAAGTCTGAAGAGAACTAAAAGCTCTATCTTGGCCCAGTTACATATATGCTACCTGATTTGCATCTATAAATACATGTCAAAAATTCATGCTGAACTTTAAGATTTTAAAGTAGTCGATGGGTCAAGACCAAAGAGAAGTATCTATAGAGAGTCATCTAATGGGAGTTCCTCTGCAGTACAGACAAGCTTCATCACCTAATCCAGAACAGAATGATGACATCCAGTTAAATGGTATATAGTTTGGAAAGACATTTATAGCATGAATTTGTTTCGATTCAGCTTTTGGATCCTGCACATCCCTCTGAAAGTGCTATGCATTATTATCTTATTCATTAATAAAAGATATTGAAACATTAGAGTAGGAATATTCAATGGGAGAACATCCCTAGAAACATCCTCAACTAGATGAATATTCTTAATGGTTAACTACTTGTGTACCACTATCCGGCTTTTAATAAGTTTGAAATGTACTACGATGATTTGGGGAACAAACCATACTATTTGGATGCAGTTCTTAGAGTGTATAAAGTAAAGATTAAGCTGATCTAAACGTGCAGGAATCTAAACAAGGGAGGTTACAGCAAGGCAATCGCTGTGCCAGCCATTTCAGCAGGTGAGCAAAGCAGAGCATCAGGGCAGCAGCAATAACTGGTAGACCAGACCACTGTGTTTGCAGGTTTGTCACCTCTGTTGGGTTGAGGACTCTACATACCACCAATTCAGCATCAGAAGGTAAAACTCCAGCTCTATTTAACCCTCTCATCCAAGACTGAATCCAAGGAAACACTTAAAAAGTTGGCCGAAGACATGCCTTTACTTCCCATTACTGCCATCTCCGTCCCATCACGCTGCTGCTTCTGGATAACAAAACCACCTAGTGCTTGATACAGCGTTTAGCTCTGCAAACCAGAGTGAGAACTGACAGACAACTGCATAGCTTTTTATCAAAGTGATCAGAAGAGCATGTTTGGAGAGATGCAGGGAAAAGAAAGAAACGTAGCAAGCAGTGGTGAATGAGATGCCTTTTATCGGAGCCTGCAGATGTGACCGGAGCGCTCTGCTGAGCTCATTGAAGTGACTTCTTTTACTAAGTTTCAGACTTACCATAACAGCAACAGTAAATGCATCAGCCTCTAGCTTTTAAATAACGTGCTGGCATCAGACAACAATGTTATTTATCACGAAGTTTTGTTTGTTTTTTTTTTTAAATAGGTCGACCTGATTGATACTATTTCAACCTTGGCAGCTCCCTGTTGACAGACAACGCGTTTCAAGAAACACGTAGGCAAGAACAGAGAAGAACAAAAGAAAAATGAATGGATGCCTTGAAAATAAAGCTCATTAGGAAACAGTACAAGAGTGAGGGTTGTTTAGTCCAGAGAAAAGATGTTCAAGAGGGACAAGATAATGACTTTTCAGTATATAAAAAGAAAAGTAAATAATAATTTTTTTCTGTGGACATGGAAAATGCAAAATAACACCAAAATGGAGCAAGGAAAAAGCTGGTGATAACTAATAATGAAACACGACTGTGACTGCTGTAGAGTCATCACTGTACGACATCTGCAACTATGAAGACTGACATGATTTGACTCTGCCAGGGAACAGAAGAATAACTGAGAACTATGCAGCTTCCTTACCACTCCTTCCAGCTATATTCCCAATTAATCAAACAGCTTGTGCACGTGCCATACATGTAAGAGGAAAGCTTTTTGTCTCAGGGCCTCGTACCTACTCTGTGGACCCACTAGCACCTTTGCAACTGGTGCACAAATCATGGAGACCATCCCCCCCCCAAGTTTCTTTTCTAGCACAAGTTCCAAAGTATAGGACCCTATAACAGAGGGGGAGTCACAGAAACCACAAAGACAACAGGTCTCAAAGAAGTGCTGTTCCTGCAGGATAACTGTCAGGGTTTAAGCCCAGCTGGCAGTCAGGACCATGCAGCCACTTGCTCACTCCCCCTGGCTGGGATGTGGGAGAGAATCAGAAGAGCAAAAGTGAGGAAAAACTCATGGGTTGAGATAAAGACAGTTTAATAAGTAAAGCAAAAACCACGTATGTAAGTAAAGTGAACCAAGGAATTCAGTCACCACTCCCCACTGGCAGGCTGATGTTCAGCCATCTCCAGGAAAGCAGGGCTCCATCACGTAACGGTTACTTGGGATGACAAATGCCATCACTTTGAAAATTCCCCCCCTTCCTCCTTCTTCCTCCAGCTTTATATGCTGAGCATGTTGTCACACGGCATGGAATATCCCTTTGGCCAGTTGGGATCAGCTGTCCTGGCCATGTCTCTGCCCAACTTTTTGTGCACTCCCAGCCGACTCGCTGGCGGGGTGGTGTGCGAGCAAAAAAGGCCCTGAGAGCTTGGCAACATCCAAAACCACCAGTATGCTATCAACACCGTGTCTCATCCCAAATCCAAAATACAGCACTGCACCATCTGCTAGAAAAAAGAGTTAAGCCCATCCCAGCTGAAACAATGACAATAACTCAATCTTTTCTCAAATGTGCATTCACAATTGCATTAATTACAGAACTTGGCATGTAGCGGCCTTAAGATGTGAAGGTAACTGATCAGAGTCTTCTTAAAGACCCCGTAACAGCTCTAGCAAGACACCCTGTTTTGAAGACACAAAAATACTGTTCTAGGTAAACGTGTGTATTAATCCCAGGGTAGCTGTTGTGTCCACTCACAAAATACAGACATTTTTTCAGAAAAATTTCAGAAGCTGCCATAGACTTAGAGAAGTATTTCCACTCTACAGGGCAAAACCTAATACTTTAAATCCATCAGTTCATATGGCCTTTAATAGGCTAATGCTTCTTTCTGCAAATGCTGTAAAGCAACAGAAGGATTTTTTTCCCCCTCTATTAAATACAAATCAAGCTGTTTACAACTAGAAGGAGAGGGAGTGAAAACTAGCAGAAAAAGCAAAACTTAAACCCCAAATCAGATAAGCGGATCCTTCATTAAGATAAAAATCAATCAGTATCTACAAACTAGTGTGTAGAGCAGACCAGCTGTTAGGGCCTGAATCATTTTCATCCACTGAATTGATGCTTAACATATCGAACCTGCCACCCACCCCACAAAATGAAAGCTTACTCGTGAGCCTGTAAGGTCAACACATTCAGCAGAAAAGGCCTTAAAGATTTAGATGATTCTTCAAAAGCTTTATTGATGTATCCAGCGACTGCCAAGACGCATGCCTGCAACTCTTAGGAGACTATATTATGCTAATACTGTTGTGAGGTGTTCCCTTCCAGCGCTATAGCCTCAAATGGCTTCTGTTCCTAATTCTGAGGAGGATTATTAGATGTTTTATGCAAATAAAGCATCTCTTTCATTTACACACATAGATCAGTCTTTGAGTCATTCCTCTTAAACAGTAATAAAT